AAGCTAAAAAATTATAACAAATCCTCTTATTTTATTGCCTTCTTAAAAATCTACCAAATCCTTCCCGACTTTCTAAATTATACTGCCATGTTCTAGAGATGATGTCACTTCACTGTTTTATCAAAAGGGAGCACCCAGAATGATTACTCATACAGGTTAACTTGCCTTTGATGTGGCAATTTGATGCTTAGGAGTGGTTCTGATTTATTAATGACTATCTTTGCTTTCCCTAGAAACAAAGTCTCTGTACAGAACAACATCCCTCCATCAATGCCCCTAAATGCCACTAACTTTATTGCTTTTGCCTATTTTAGGCAAAAGCACTGCAGGAAGTATTCACATTCTACTGTATCTATTTAGGCCTTTGTCTATTCACTTTTACCTTTTCTCCTCATCTGTTGTTTCTTTTATACTTCACTGATTTTCAAGGACTGGATTTTGTAGACATTATTGACTACTAATAATTTATTTTTTATGTAGCAACTGAATGATCAATTCACATTGGGTATAATCTTTCACTCTTTGACAGTTCTTAGGTGAGACTACTATTAAAGAATGACAAGTCATTTCCTAACTATGAAAGACTTGAGAATAACGGTTATATAGAAAAAGTGTTGGCACTCTTCTGAAGCAAAAGACTCCTCAAGAGTGAAATGAACAAAATCACAATTTTATACCACTATGAATTAAAGAACATGAGAGAAAAATTTGATCATATGAATGTACAGAATTATCTTATATAAAGAGACCAAAAATGCTATAATGTAATAAAAATTCCAAACATTTAATAATTGACATTAAATTCCATTTACTGAGAGCCCCTGTTGCAAGCACAATGCTGTGTGCTAGAGACAGAGATAAACGAGACCACCCTGTGTGTCAATGAGAAAGACATACTTGCATCCTTTGTTGGGTACAGAACACAGAAAACCCCTGAAACAGACATACGCTAACTTGTTAAATGTCCAGTTTAGTTTCTGGATGCAAGTTTTTGAACTTTAGTTTTCCTAATCTTCAAATGACAGTTAATGTTAGTACCTACTTAATATGGTTTCATAATGATTAAAAAGATAATACATGAAGGCATATAGCAAAAAGCCTGCTCCATAGTAAATATTTACTATTATTGGTATTATTTGCTATTATAACTAGTTGTCACTTTACAAAAGGTAAAATTAAAATGAAAGTAATAAATTATCACATCGTATTAAGGACAAATATCACAAATCATGTATATAAATGAATTATTCCTTCTAACCTCATTTATGGATTTTTTTTTAAAAAATGTTTCCTTTAGGGGTGTGTGTGTGTTTCTGTCTTTGTGGTTATGAATAATTTTCTATCCTATAACTATGACTATGATAAACTATCAAATTTTCTTCTAATATCCTTTTATTTTTAAAAAATATTCTTTTTATTTATTTTTGAGACAGAGTCTCACTCTGTTGCCTGGGCTAGAGTGCTATGGCATCAGCCTAGCTCACAGCAACCTCCAACTCCTGGGCTTAAGCAATCCTCCTGCCTCAGCATCCTGAGTAGCTGGGACTACAGGCATGCGCCACCATGTCTGGCTAAGTTTTTCTATATATATATATATTAGTTGGCCAATTAATTTCTTTCTATTTATAGTAGAGATAGAGTCTCACTCTTGCTCAGGCTGGTTTCGAACTCCTGACCTTGAGTGATCTGCCCACCTCAGCCTCTCAGAGTGCTAGGATTACAGGCGTGAGCCACTGTGTCTGGCCTATTTTTAAAAAATAATCTTATGGTTCGATTTTTTAACACTTAAATCTTTAATCTATTTGAAATTCATTCTAGTAGGGATTTTTCTCATTTTTTCCCAAATGAATGACAAGCTATCCCAACACCACGTGTTAAAGTTATCCCTCAAACCGACTATCCTCCATCCTTAGGCCCACATCATGTTCCAACTGATCTGTTTCTACAGGCTCCCACTGGCCCTCCTCCATTCAGCACTCCACGCCCCCATCCTGCGCCACCCTCCACCTCAAACACCTGTTTCGTAGATGACATGTGCAGTGATGTGTCACTTGCCTCTTTAAATCCTTTGAATGGCTTCCCAGTTTGGATGAAATAGAATGTTTTAATAAGTTCATAATTAGGGTGGTCATAAAATTTATCATCCCAATAGGGAAAAAATTAGTTAAAGAAATGCTATTACTAATAATGCTGGAACTACAGGCATATTATGCCAGACTATCACAGGCAAACCATACCCCAAAGGCTTCACTGTCAGCTACAAACTTTTCCCTTTTTCTCTCTCACAAATTGCTATTTAGCCACACTGAACTTATTTGGTATTGTTGCATCCTCAAACTTAAATTCTTTCTTTATGGGACTTCCCATACTATTTCTGTGCCTAAGTATTTATTTTCCACATCCCACCCCCAACCCATCTCCCACCACTCGCCCTCACCCATTATCTCAAACTCAACCTCCAGGGCTCAACTTGAAGATGCTTCAACACCCCCTAGTCAAGTTTGAACTTAGCACATTCCTATGTGTTCCACATCATTTCCATACATTCTCTTTTTTATCCAATATTTCCCCTATTACCTTTACTAATCACATATGTTACTATCTTCTATAATCTAATGCCTGCACACACTAGGCATTAAATAAATATCTAAGAATGAATGAATGAAGATCTGTCTCTAGTGACATATACAAATTATCAAAAAAAGTTATAAAACTTTTCAGAAAGAGTTGGCAGATCTATGTAATATATGTATTACCTTCCCATAGTGGTTACATATTTGTTTGTACATATATATCTCTGTGTGTGTGTATGTGTGTGTGTGTGTGTGTGTGTGTGTTTAAAGTCATAGAACTTTGGAGGTATATTTCAAATTTCTTTTCAGTACTATGAATTAAATGTTTAAAATGAAATTTCAATGTTTAAAAAGTAAATAATTTCCCTAATCTACTAAAAATCAAATACCAGAATTACATTTTTCATATTTTAATTGTCAGTGCAACTAATAACCCATGTACCTTCCTTCTGTTCAAAAGAAATAAAAACAAATATTTTAGTTTATTCCTAGGACAAAAAGGAATTATTATAATCTGATTATTTCTGAAGATATATTATTATATTCTGATAAATAAATTATACTATTATATTCTGATTATATTCTGAAATAGTCTAAAATTTATTTGGGGGTTGAACTTCTTAAAGTAATTATGGAAGTGCAATTCAAAGTGATGGCAGTTAATATAAATGACTTCAAGGGAAGTAATGTTAAATGTTACGTCAAAATGGGAAGAAAGATATTTTCTTCCCAAGACTGGCTAACTATGAATTGCCACTGCCAACTGCAACATCACATGTCTGGAATCTTAAATACTTTCTACACATATTTCATGAAGATATATCCTTTATGCTGACTTCTCACCCATCCTTTAGTCACATTGCTAGATAAATGTGAAAAATAAACAAAATTATCCATTGAAAATATTTTCCACATAATAAAATTTAACTAGCCAATTATTATAAAATTTTATCACATGGACCCTCATAATACCAACTAAAGTCATACCTCCCTCTTGAGCCAAATTTCAATTTTCATGCAGTGTATTCTCCTTAGATTTAGCTATTCCATTGCCAACATTCTCTCAAACAGATTACTAAAATCACTTTTTTTGGTATGAAACATTCTTCTTTAACTTCTAACACTCTTGAACCAAGATAATAATCTGACAACGGAGTTTAACACGCTTCTCATAACTAACGTTACCCTGCTTTGGTTGATATTACTTCTCATGGGTAGTCAAGGCCAAATGAAGAAAACTTCAGAGCATTCTCTGGCTAAGAATCTCCTCCTACTAACTTTTTCACACACTTTGTCTTTAATATCAAGCAACTTTTCTTCTGTAATCTGATCCTTGTTCTTTTAGAACTAAAATTTAATTAACTTCCTAAAGCACTACAAACAATTACCCTCACATTATTAATCCCAGTCCATTTACCGTTAACAGCAAAACATTTATGGAATTTACATACAGGGATTAGATATTATAGTCCATGTATGCTTTTACTTCATCTTTTATTTAATACTTTATTTAATACTTTATTTAATTTTTTAAATATAAATTTAAGACCTAAATATAGCACGGTCCCAAAGGATATTTCTCAAAGAAGGTAGAAACCAGTTTTTGCATCTAGGTTGAAATTTTCATTCCACAGTCTACATATGCTTACCAGTAACCGTAAGATAACTGATCATTTTAATTATGCAATTATGTAATCCGTATGTAATTTTGACTCACAGAACAATATTGTACATACGGCTGCAGTAGTGTTGAGTCCAAAATGCATATATTACAGGATTTAGCACATAAATAATATTCAAAGAACAGGAGGAAAATTTTGAAATGCCTTTGATAGACTAATCACATTTGGAAGAAAAATAAGTGACACACTTAGTACAGAATGGGAAAGGGAGAACTGAAGTCTGTCTAGCAATATTTTACTGGTATTTTACACTGGAAATCTGCTTTGTAAAATGGCATGACATTTTGAAACATGAATTGGTAGAGGGACAGGAAATAGGAAACAGGAAGGGGGGAAAGGAAGAGGAATGCTGAAATGACCCTACACAAAAATAAGTATATTTGTCAAACATATTGGAATACTAATAATACCAATAACTGGCTAAGTAAAATGTGCCTCAACAAAAGTACTAGTAGGTTCTGCATTGTTCACTCTTAACTTCATTTAAAAGGAAACCAACCTTGAAGCTACATTATATTTGCCAACTTATATTCTGAGCTTCCCAATTAGAGTATTTTGTAGTTTGTTGACACATTATGATCAAAATCTCACTTCTTTCTCATTAAAAGGATTTAGGCTATTAAAATATTGTCTGCTATTTGAAAACACACTTACTTGAAAATTGATGCTCGAAACAAAATTCATCTGAAGGCTCAGAAAGTAGCCCTATTTGAAGGTATTTATTACAGCAGTAACATGTCCTCACCTTCACATTGGGTTTTGACAGCAGTTTCAACAGCTCTCTGATCTCACTGTTTAATGGCTTGTTCTGAAGCTCTTCAGCCAGCTGCAAGGGAGATTAAATTGACATAAAGAACATTTAGTAAGAGCACTGTGAGGTTCGGCGTGTGACCACTGAGAATCTGTCTTGCTCAAGGCTATTACTTTCCAGTGTTTAAGGAGAGGTCGGCATAAAAGAAAACAGACCACCCATCATAGCTCTTCTTCTTAGGCCCTTGGTAGTCCAGGTCCAAGCCCAGGCTCTAGGCTGAGCATAAATCAAGTAATCGTATCAGCCAGGTCACCTTTTGATTTATTGCAATGGGGGCAAATCTCAGCACTTCATCTATGTGAATGGTCTTTTGCACACAGACAAAGGGCCACTTGTAAAAAGGACTGGATCAAGCTTTGACACTGTACCCTCCCCACCCCCACAAAAACAGTGCTTCGGACTGAGGTGGTGAAACCCATGGGGTTTCCAAAAACTCACAGTAGCTGTGCTGTTTAAGGCTAGGGTGAAAAGAACTAGAATGCTCCTAATAGAGCAAATGGTCTGGAGCTTTTATTATGTTTACCTATACAGACTAAGAAGTCTGTTAAATATAAACAGAGTTATTCATAAAATGACCTATAATAGGTTGACAACTACTCTGGTACCAAAAATGCTGACTGTACTATAATGATAAAGATTTCCCATTTGTTGGTTCTACCTAAACAAAGTGTTTCAATTTTGAACTTTCTTCATGTTCTTCATTAAAACATAGTCCTATCAAAATTTCAATTCAATTTTAGGCTATAGGAAGAATAATATAAGCTTCATAAAAAGAAAAGCAAGACTCATACAGGAAAAAAGACTACAATTATAAAGTATATATGAAGTATGCAGTATGTAATTCAAAATATATACATGTACTTTTATTTTAAAACCCCTCTTAAAATGTTGCATGAAATTTCCATTTGTCCCTATTTCTACTAAGCTAAAAATAACTGTTCTTACCTCTTCAAAAGGACTTTTCTCTAAAAGAAGGGAGTAATGTAAATTAAATTCATTAATTACATTTCAAAATTGCTTTTACTTTTTCATATTTTCATATGTAACATATCTACAGAATTTTTAACATGCAAAAATTTCTTTGTACTCTTTACTCATTAATACACAACAATATATTTTAATGCTTAAATACACTGCTTTGACAAATTATAAAATACTGTGGTTTATCACATTTAGATAGTAGTCTCTAATTTTTTTATAAGGCAGTATTATTATAATATGATTGGGCCTCAGTTACATTAGTTTTAAACAAATGTTTCCCAAAATGCTAAATGGTAGATGTTTTAAAACTGATTTTTTAGGCTTTCTCAGGAGGCAACTGCAGCTTACTTGTAGAAATGTATCTACATTTTTATTTACCTTCATTTCAAAGTTTTGGTTCTATATTATAGACTAGTTAGCTTCCTCATTAAGGAAAGCTTATCTATTAAAACATCCTTATAATCTTTGTAGATAAAAATAGAAGGGAAAATGTTTGAGGACTAAACAAATAGCACACAATTTGGATATTTATTACATATGCTTTATTTTATAAAATAAATCAAAGAAACCAACTTGTGAAGATGGTCGATTACCTATATCATGGCCCTGATATTTTACTACACTGAATTATTGCTCATTTTATCAAAATAAAGGAAAAAAAATTAAAAATCGACGAATAAGCTATGGGATATCACTAAACCCAGCCTCCACACTAAACATATTTCTCGCCTAGCTTAGTGTCCTTTATAGTTTATCCAGGTGTGCTCTCAATCCATCCGAGTCTGAAAGTTAACAGTAAGAACCAGCAAGTTAGTTCCCCTTCCCCCAAGTTTAAAATAAAATTATAGCTACAGGAAATTAAATACTCCATCAATGCCAACTGCTTCTAAAATTTATTTTTTGGTTATGAAGGTAATTTGGAAAGGTCTAATATCCATAAATCATGACTATGCTTTATAATCAATTTCAAAAACAATCCTGTCTTTTTATGTATTTCATATGGCTTAGCCCTATACTAGTATCTGTCATTTTTTAGTACTGTCAGCAATATAGCTATCTCATTTGTCTTTATTTCTCCAAAGCATTCCTCTTGTCTGTGACTTTCTCGGAACACTAACAGCTGACAGCTTCTCTGTCTCCACAGAGTTTAAAGCCTAAAATTTCTATTACGTAGTTACCAAGGCAGAACAAGAGGGTAGCTACATGCAAGATTTGTAGAACAGGAAAGTGAATGAAAATCAACATAACATCAGCATAAGCTCAGTGATGACAGGACTTTTGGAAACATGTGCAGCTCCTTATGGTTTTCACTCGTAGGATCATACGCATCTGTCTGCACTGGGATGAGTTCTGCCCTGGCCAGAGCTACAGCAGACACATCCCAGCGAGCTCAGAAAGGTACACTTACGTCATTAGCCAAGGCTGCCGCACCATGGAGAATGGGCACAGGGCTTTGCTTCTCATAGTAGCGTAGTTTTTCATGAATCTGGAAGAAAATCAAATGAATACAAGTTCACCTGCTAGTAAACAATCTCAGATATTTAAATATTTTTATAATTGAAAAGAGAATCTGAATCCCTTGCACATCGAAAGTTATTATTTATATAAACCTATAGATGACATATATGTATGCTTCATTGATCTATTACTATGGTCCAATGTTCACACTGTGGAGTCAAACAGAAAAAACAAATCTTCATCAAACGGAACCCACATAAAAACTAACCTTTGTTTTTCCCCTGAATAAATGTTAGTTTTCTAAAGTCTATAATATCTAAAATCTATTGCTTCAATACTTCAAGTATCAACTGTAGCTTATATTCCCGCTAAAAACACAAATTGTGATGAAAGCTAAACAGTAAACTAATAGCGGTATTCTGACAGGTTGGGATGTCATCGTCATCGAGAGCAAAGAAATTGGCACTGGATGTACCTGGGTGCCAAGTTCAGGATCACTTTACGAAGCACAGTGTTCCTTTTACATATTTTTTTCAAATTGCCAACTTTTCCCCCCAAATTCAAATTTCCCAGAAACAAAAGGATTTCTCATAACTAGAGACATTTCTTATAACTATCTAGCATAAATAAGATTAATTTTCATATTATAAAGCAATTATATTAACACATAAAAAATAATTTGGTCCTTCATTTTCCATCATCATGGCCTGAGAAACACAAAAGCATGAATCTACTTTAATGCTACATAAGACAAACTGAGTTCCTTAAAGAAATCTAGTCTTATAAAGCTATGAAACAAAAGATGTTTAGACAAATGCACACCTGTTGGCACTGAAGTTCAATCTAGTTCAGCTCTTACATAGGTGTTCTTAACATTTTATACTTAAACTCACTTTAGCCTCTTCTTTCTTACAGCTGAAGAAAACTGTCTCCCAGTATATATGAAAAACAGTTGTACCTAACAATTTCCTGTTTTTAATAGGTATCAAGTAATATACTCTTTAATTACACTCACAGCTAACTAAACTACCTTGCAAAAGTCTGGAAGAGAGATTTTATTTTGATTAGCCAGATGCTCATTGCTAAGAGAGGATTCTATTACCTTTTTGACAATCTGGTACATAATGCAAAGCATCAGAGAAAGGATTTTGACGGTTAGGATGTTACCAGAATGATCAGGGCAACATTTTTACTCAGTATCTTGGAACCTTTAAACATTTATCACATCAAGATAATAAACAAATTTGAAAGACTACAAGCTATAAAAAGAGTAAGATTTGATTTGAGAAACTATGAAAGTGTAATTTAAACAAAAAACAATCCTATTAAGAGCTAAATTCATTTTGTTTAAGTAATTATCAAGAATTAGGTCCCTTCATAGAACACTGAACTTATCCTATCATAAACCTCATCTAACTTCATTGCAAGTACTTATTTGTCTGCTTCTCTGGTATAATAAATATAGAGGCATATACCTATCAAGCACTTACCATGTGCCTGTATCACCTACCTAACAGTTGTAGTAATACTAGTAACACAGTCTTTAATGGATTTAATACTTTAATTCCTTAATCCTCACAATAATATGAAGAAGTGATAGCACATCATCTATTTTACAGATAAATAGATACACGTGGGTTTAAACAACTTTCTACGTTCCTACCAGTAGTAAGAGGCAGAGCTGGGACTGCAGAGCTCAAGCCATCTGGCTCAGTGTTGAAGCACTTAATCACACACTTTTCCTCTCAGATTAACATCTCACCTGCATTTTTCACTGGTTCTTCGCTGCTGAATGAATATGACCTGCTTACAGGGCACTGGAAGATGACAACCGGTAGTGATTGTTTTCAATGACTAGAGGATCACTGTTGGTTCCCCTTCCCAATCTCTCCCCCAATACTGTCTTTCTGATGGTTTTCAATTTTCCCAGATTAATTTGCATTAATACTATAATTATAACCTAAAGTTATGTGCCCCAAATAAACATGTTATTTCGCCACTTAATTTGCTTTTTCTGAGCGTCTTTTATAGGCAGCCAGTTTTGCTTCCGACATCTTCTCTAGCTCCTCACCCACCTAATAGACCAGCACACAGCTAGCCCACCCACCCTGAACTTTGTACTGTATAAAGATTTTTTTTAATGTTCTCTTAGAATTTCAAAATGCTGGCAACCCTATATTGACAGGTGTTTTGTTTCACTGCATCATTTTAAAAATTAAGATGGTAGAAAAGTAAAAATTTAGTCTAGATAATTTTGAGCTGTTCACTGTTTCCAAAAATAGTGACAGAAATTCTGCCTCTTATTAGTATTTATGATACCCAGGGAAGAAAATAAAAAACCAAAATGATTTTAAAGTCCGTCCAATAGAACTGTCTGTGATACTGAAAATGTGTTATAGCTGCTTGTCCAATATGGTTAGCCACCAGCCAAGTGTGGCCTTTGAGCACTTGAACTGCAGCTAGCATATGTGAGGAACTCATTTCCAACTTTAGTTAACTTTAGTTAATTTAAATTTAAATACCCACATGTGGCCAGGATCTTTAATCTTGGAGAACATGACATAACTTTATATTATATACTCTATAATTTGCCTCTGTATCCCAGAAAAATTCATTCTGATATAGTTTGGCAAATTTCCCTGAGTGGGAACTGTTTGGAATCCAATAGACAAACATTTAACCAAAGATGTGGCTTCATCATCAATATGCAAATTCAAATCTATTATTAAATATCAAGAACAGCCAAACCTATAAAATGTCATTTATTTTAACTAAACATTTCCCTCTGCTGATTCAACCATGTAATAAAGCATCCAATGTAGAATTAGCACGTGCATGCACACACCTAATTCCCTCCTTTATTTAAAACATGGCGGGGAGGAGGAATTCTAAATATTAAAAAAGAAAATCCATGGGGAAAAGTCCTTTCAGAAATATTTTTTATTTGCTTCTGATGAGTGGCTTTGAAATATTATCAGCTACTTTGCTAACTTCACAATGCAGGACTCCTAACTTGGTAGATAAAAATCTCAAATCCCAAGCCATGGACAAACCAGTCCATGGCTACAAATTCTTAAAGACAATTTTCTTTTTTCCTACCTAATCCCAGGAAAAGATAGACCCGCTTCTCTGTCATCTTCCTAAACAGGTAGTTGGAATTATTCTCATCTTCCCATTTACTAACAAAGTGGTCCTAGAAAAGTAGCTGTTTTGTGTGTGTGTGTGTGTGTGTGTGTGTGTGTGTGTGTCATAAAGTCTAAAAACTTAGACACTGTACCTTTGCTCAAGCTACAGAGACAAAGTAAAAAATAAGCAAAACCTTCCCATAGGAAACCCTGGGTGCCACTTTGCCTTCCACTCATGTTGGGGTGTTTGAAACATCTCTACACAGATGGATAATTCTTATGAGGGACGTGGCTATAAAGTCTTGCAAAATATAGGCACCAAAACCAGTTTTTAGGATTAAGTTAAATTATTAAAAAAAGCAACAAACCATCAACATTTTCATTTTGCTTGAAAATGTAGTGATTCTACTTGAAATCACCTCCCAGAACATTCTTCACGGATCAGATTGCTTTAGTTCCCAGAACAATATTCTGGAGAAAGTAGCCAGGGCATTAAACATTTCTTTGGAAAGTTTTAGCAGTTCAACAATAACAAAAAAAAAAAAAACTTGAATTCTCCAACTCAGAAATATATAATCGCCCCATTTTGAAAGAACCCAGTATTTGTACACTCATCTTTCATTCCCCTCATATTACAATGATCAGATGTGTCATTTTAAAAAATATATCTATTTCCATAATCATTGAAGAACTGAGAACTACTCAATTTTTTATCAGGGTCGTTGGACGGATGTTATCACAAATGATGTCATGGAACTTGGACAGGCTTCAATATACAAGTTACAATCAATTACATTGTACACTTGTTTGTAGTTTACATTTTAACACACACTAAAGCTGTAATTACAGCTTTGAAATAAAAATTGCTCAGTAACAAAAGATGGAATAAGCTGTCTTAAAAAGTGGCAAGTGTAGTGTCTATGGCTCAGAGAGTTCATGGGCAGCTCTCAGCTGGTTCATGACCTCTTGGAAACTGTATACAAATTATTTACATGTATTTTTCTAGGGAAAGAACCCAAGGTAGAGATGGGTGATTCATGCTGAAAGGCTTGGACTTTATCTAGTAAAAAGGTTAAAAAGCCATTAATGAAAAGGAGACACGTGGCCCAATTTGTGCTTTGCTCCATTTTAGTTGTGTGGGTGGGAGGGCAGGCAAACAGGTAAGTCTGTGAACAGGAAAGCAGTTATGAGGATATTGCTCTGCTGGCAAGAAATTCAAAAAAAACTGTTTAGTGGAAGTTACTTTGGGGGTTCCTCAGGCGTTCTATTCTTTGTAGACCCAATGGACTGAGGCTCCTCTCAGCATCTACTACACTGCCTCTATCCCCAAACCTGCTGTGAAATAAGATGCACCTCTCCCAGCTGCTGTTCTCCCAGCTGCCCCCAATACAAGCATATAGGCTCATTATGGTTTAGGGCTTTTACTGCTATCCACGTGGGGGGAAAGACAAGGACCAAAAGCAAAACATGAAGAATTTATAGTTTTTCACAGTTTTAAAAAATGAAGTATCAACATAATTTACTGAGAGCCTTGTAGTCAAATATATTCAAGTTTAAATCCCAGTTCTGCCCCTTACTCATCATTAGGCAACTTACTTAACTTTCTAAACCTTAGTTTCCTCTTACTTAGAACAGGATAATAATAATAGTACCTAGTACATGGGGTTATTGTGAGAATTAAATAAAGTCACCATTAAAAGAAATTCACGCTAGCCCTGGAAAATAGAAAATACCCAATAAATGGTAGTTTGTGCCCTAAGTACCCCCTCCCCTCCCCTGTGACCCTAGAAAGAGGACACATTCGCTTCCCTTTGACTACATCATGTTGCATGTCTGTAAGATTCAATCAAGACCTAAAGATAAAAATCAAAGCAGACTTGGTACCCACCTGTGCTCAAGCAAA